GATTTTGGCGCACCCCGACGCTTTCATTGTGCGGAGTGTGCTGGGATTCTGTAGGGGTTTGTGCGGGAGACATATGAGCCATTGCCTAAACTCCTAGTATCCCCCTTAATGACCCCCATAGTAGCCCCCTATATAATCCCCTATATAATCCCCTATATAAACCCCCTTTAAGGAGTTTAGACTATAGCTCATATAAATCATAATGTGGCTTGCTCTCCTGCTTTGGGCTACGAAAGTAGGACACAGCACAGTTGCGCAAAATGAGAGGCCCAAAACCATGAGGTCAGGGAATGGTTCTCTGCACTAGCATGTTTCTACAGCCAAAAGCATCTGTACTGTCCTTATGATCACTACAGTCATAATCCACGCCTCTTCCCATTACATCAGCCAGAAGTTGGATAGGTTAAGCATACTTCCTCAGTCCGCCTAACCATCTCAATCCTTTGGTCCTTTGCAATACAATGCAAGACAGCTAATGCCCATCCCGCCTTCATAGCAGAGATCCTGCTTGTCCTGAGCAGCTTGACACTTACTCACAGGGAGCACACGCGCAGCAGTCACTACAAGATGGGAGGAACGTGTGACTGTTTAGGAGTTGGAGCCGCATGGATCAAGGGGATAGTGCCTTACAATGGAACATGCCTGCAGTATCAATGACGTCCAAAAATCCTGCTATATTATAGTAGTTTCCATTTCATTTTCCATTATCCCATATAACCCCAATTACCCCCTATGGCACTCTGTAATCAGCTCAGCTTCCAGGAGGCAGCGGCGGACTTCAGCACGAAAGGTCACCTGAACGTAGAGGAAGGCTGTCATAAAGATTTATGAGTGCTCTGCATGTGGGGGTCACGTAGGCGTTATTTAGGGACAATTTTTGGGATGTATGCGGCAGAGGTCCGGGTAACAAGCAGCGTAACTTCAGCCATAATGCATCACAACCACAACCGTAGGTCAACTTTAGCATCTAGAGATCCCTTATACGGATCGTTGCGGAACGCTTCATGCGATGAGGAAAACTACAGGACTGCTTCCGCAGCAGCTCAACTCGGTGCCTCTCCTGTTCGCCAAAAGCAAGATGCAATGGACTTTCAGTAGGTGGGGACCCCATCTCAAGTACAAGCCCCAACAAGTCCCACCACGGATCATCCAAGGGCCTGTACCAAGTGGGCCAAAGGTCCGTGTGCCTTTTCCCCCACTAAACCGAGCCCACAAGTGACAGGACTGTTTGAACACAACGCATGGCCTTGAGCACGGCAGCCATGTCTTCAATGAAGAGGATGGAGGGTGCCTAGGTTCATGACAGTGGGCTGCTCTCAGTGAATCCTTGTAGCAAGGACTACGCTATTTTGCTGGGGAGGAAGAGGAAGGACTTGAGAAGAATGCTAGGTCAATAACCCCTATAATCCCTATAGTAACCCTACTCATCCCCATTATTAACCTACTCACCAAGTCCCCCTGACCCATCAAGCATTGCCCTAAACCCTGAGGTACACCAAGCGGCGGTTCAAGAAATATGCGCTCTGCGAATTGAGAGGTCAGGACAACGCCTTAAACTCAGATGCTGCGGCGGCCGGGCGGTGTGTCTGGGAGCTCAGGCAGACAGTCCCCTTTTAATTTCAACACAAGAGGCCCCAAATCTAAAGGTATAAAGCTCTTCTCCAGAGGGATTATACTTACACAGACTGACCTCGGTTTAGATGGCTCTCATGTACATGCGGTCGGTCGGGGTCCTTGGAGGAAACCCGCATTTTTGTTTAAACCGGATCCCCCGCATGCTTGTGCAGACAGCAGCTCGGTCGGAGCCACAAGCGGAAAGTGCGTCCCAACGCGCGGCCCTTCCTACGCAAGTACTAGTTACCAGTACTTTATCAGAGTACTAGTCATGGCCGCTTGACAGCAAAGTTCATCACCAACAGGACCAATCCAGCGGGGAACTGAACTGGCACCGGAGCCTGGGAGGTTGCATGTCTTGATGCCCAACCCAGTCGGAACATGTCTGTTTAGAACCCCATCTCCGATGGCCTGATTTGTTGGCTTCAGGCAATCTATCTCTGAAAGAGGTCTCAGGGCTCCTGTCCTGCTTAGACCCCCGAAGACAAAGACCTCCGCACCGCAAGGATCTTCAGGAAGCTACTGATGGAGACTCCGGCCTGTGAAGGGAAGAATATGCAATCTAGGCAGGGCGGAGCTTCAGACACGTCACCTGAGAACTGTAAACTATCGGCGGATGTCCCTAAACTTTGGAGGGGGAACCCTCCTGCGATGTTCAGGTTTCCTGGCTTGGAGGAAAGATTTCAGGCATTGGAGGTACCTAATTTCGACCTCCCCGCTCAGCTTCAAACTCCGCCTCAACAATGAACCGTCTTTACTCTGCGAGTCCCATATCCAGGATCCCTCAAGCTCTCACCCTGACATCTCCCAAAAAGCAGCCTCTGAGCGCTCTGGAGGAACTTTCGTACCAGCGGAACACAGGCCTCATGATCGCTTCCGACAGACTCTGCAGCTATGCTACTGGACCCATATTGGAGGGGGGTTGTGTGTCGTGGTCCCGGTGAGCCCACGTATGGTGGGGCTCCTGGTCTACTTCCTTTGGGTTTGCGCCGCATAGCTATGAGTGCTCCAGCCAAGCTAGGAGGAAGGCTCTCGCAGCTTGAGCTGTGGCTGGCTATGCTCCAGCAAGCAGAAAGATGTGTGGACATGAACGCGAGGATTCGAAACCCCTCACTCAAAAACTGAAACAGCTGCTGCTGCTGCTGCTGCGGCGGCGGCTGCTGCCATTGCGACTGCTACTGGTACTTGTACATGAGCTTCCACGACCAGGACGACGACGATAACGACGACGGTCATCATCTGAAACACATTCTTGGAGATCCACGCCCCCTGAGGCAATCGCTGTCGTTCGCGCGCGGAAGGACGCAACTACGGGCACCGAGGGATCTGGCAGCAAAGAAACTTGCACATGGCTATGTCTCGAATGGATGGAGGCTACGAGAGTTGGATTGGCTGTCGGTCCCAAATCCCAGCTAGGCTTCACCACATACTGCGTCGAGCACCATTGCAGAACAACTGCAAGAAATTTGCCCAGCACTGCTAACTTTCTGTCCAGTCGTCCCTAGTCCCCAAGATTTGGAAGTGCGTGCTGCAAGTGCCTTAACGGGCACAATATTCAGACTCGTTATGGTCATCATCAGCACCGCCACCACACTTGCGCTGGGGCCTTTGGGCTTTCAGCAATGTGTCTACGCGACAAGATTGACGTGAGTTCTCGTACATCATGGGCCCCCGACATTTGCAGTTTTTTGGGGCCTATCCAAATGTCCAATTTCGGTCGGGTGCCTGCGGACTCACACATGCTAGGCTGGGGTCCTGGAATTTTCGGGCTTTGCAGCCCTGGAAGCGGCCAGGACCTCCGCTGTGTCAAGCGGTTTAGGGTTCAGGGTCTAACACACACACACACACACACTTTAGCGTTGCGAAATTCATGCCCGCTTCCAGAAGAAAAGTAAACTTGCTCAAGTCTGAGCTCCTAGAACCTGAACCTTTAATCCTAAGCCCTTCCTAGACCCCCTCAGTATCCCTGGTAGAGGCCCACAAGTAGGACCTATGTCTAAGCCTGAAGGTCTCGGGCGCCTTCCCCCACTGCGCCAGCGGGTGCGAAGACCTCCCCTGCCCTTACCACCTGTCAGGGCCAAGGCTCATTTCACAAGGGTTTGGGGTCTAGGGTTTAGAAGATCTCTCTGTTGAAAGATCCTCAGGATGTAGAATCCGCAGCAGGCCCATGACTTTCAGAGAATCATATCCCCAATGGATTTTAATGGCGGATCAAAGCGAAGCACAAATCTCGGGAAAAGTACCGTCTGAGGACTAAGCCTACCTCAAGGGCATACGGCACAAATTGGCTGTGGACCTGAGCCTTAGATGATTCTGGACAAACCTAGTTTGTATAGTGTTTTGTGTTCACTTTATAAAGCAACCACATTTGCCAGTGACTTTTAAGGAGCCCCACGAAGTCCTACACCAAAAAGCCCTGCTGCTACTTGCCAAAACCCTAGAACCCTAAAGCCCACATGTAAGTCCTGACAACAGGCAACGCCAGCGCCTGCTCGCTCGGCACGGCCCCCTGGGGTCGCATTATGAGGCCTGGCATCGCCCCACAAGGACAGTTGAGCGCTTGCAGCTCAAGAGCATAAGGCCTTTTGAAATTAATATCCAAGGTGTAGGCGTTTACGGTGTAGGTTTAGGGCTTGCGCGTTGCGAAGCGTGGCGTTGGGAATTCGGCTTGGTCCAGGTACAGGCTTCAATTCAAGGGTTGGGACTTCGAGGCTTCAGGGTTTTTGCGTGCATGGCTTTGGTGATACTAGCGTTGATACTAGAACTCATGCATGACCTCCATACTCGAATGCCGTATAGTCCACAAAATACAAGGTACGCAGGGGCATACATTATTTTCAGTATCAAGCGTAGGATCTTAAAGACCTGAAAACCTGAACTGATACTAGCCTAGATTCTACTACAACCCTGAACCCTAAACCCGGTGGGATGACATGCTTCCCAAAGATCCTCAGTGTCTGCAGGCTCAACTGCTACACAATTCTCTGCTTCAACACTCTCCATGATAAATACTAGGCTCTAGGGCAATACAATTATAAGGGTGATGGGACCTGGAGGTTGATCTCAAGGAGTCTCAAGGTCCTTTCGCCTACCATTGGTACTTACCATCTCTCTGAGGGAGAAGGGTTACTGCTTAGACTATGGGCGTGGAGCAGGAAGACCTTTGCAGCATATCATCTGAAAAGCTGGTACCTTTCATTCCCACCCCAACCAATCCTAGACAAGATACTGGACAACCTAAACCTTGAATCTCAAGCCCTGAGACATGAGCCATAGACCCAAGACTGCCATATGGCGACCTCTCCCAGACCAACTGAGGCCGTGGCGCTCCGCATGGCAGGGGAAGGTCTCACCTGTCCCCGGAAATTGCAAGAGAGCTCATTTTTTCAGCGTGGAGGCAAAAGAAGGAACTTAACAATTGCAGGGGGTTCCCAAGAGTCTATATATATATATACATATACCTATATATACATATAGATATATGTTGAGGCTTTGATGTGGCTTGAGTGAAGTGGTGTAACCTTGATGGATGGATGGCGGCAGCAGCAGCAACAATCATATTGCATGAAAGATGATCAGAATCTGCTGTATTGGAATACAAAGGCCGTATTGCCAGCCAGTCAGCTCGCAACCCTTGCCTAGACACATGGGGGATATAGTATATTGGGGGTCCACCTAAGTAGGGAAACTACCACATAGCGCTGAAAAGCCGAACCTATACAACCCATTGCACAAGCCCCCAGAGCCTTCTCGGAGCTTGAACACGTCCCCTTCCACGACCTGAGCTTCATACGCTCCGGTTCAAACAGCAAGGTGTCTCAAAACATGGGTATGCCAAAGGAAACTCATGTATGTACATATATATATATACATGCATGCATGCATGCATGCATACATACATACGTACGTACGTACATACATACATACATACATACATACATACATACGTACATGTATACATGTATACATGTCGGGTTGGGGTCTAAAGATTTGAGAAGCTCCTACGGAGCAAAGAACGCTTTTTCTGCCACCCAGTGGCCATGTTGTAGGGCAGTTGCCGCCATACGCGGTCCCGCAAGACCTGGGTGATAGCAGGAAGCACGAGACAAGGGTTGAGGTTTTAGGCCTTGCTACCGTCCCCAAGAACAAGCATGTAGACCACCCCCCCAAACACCCAGACAATTCGTTGTCCTTTGAAAGGCTGTCGAGAGAGGGTGCCATGTTTGCTTGGGGACGGATAACAATCAGCAATAGCCAGGCGAAAGTATTTCAGATCAGCAATCTAAGCCTCACGTTCTGGAAGTTACAGCCCATGTGAGGAGCCATACCTGTCAGCTCAAAAGCCGCAGCGTGCCTGAACCTGCATGGCAGAGTAGTCTAACATGCCCTGCTTGCCATGAAACAGTGTCCATCTTTCAGGGCGCACGTACGTAAGCACATGCTTGCCTTGCGCTCCGCCTGCATGTGAACTTGGATTGCATACTGCCTTCTACCCTTCAAGCAGTGACATGCTGAAATACTTGCAGCCGTCCTTAGCAGCCACTTGCACCCCCACGAAGAACAACACACAAAGAAAACATAGTACTGAGGCCCTGACACTGATGCATAATGCGCTGGGAGGTACAGCCTGTGCTGAATGGATTTCCAACA